ATGGATAATTTCGGGGAGGACGTAATCCAGAGATCTCAATGTAAAAACAGAGCAAATATTAATTATATTAAGAAACAGACAAATTTAAGGATTCATGGGATTATAATTTATTTCCTTAGAACTGGGATTTAGATCTCCATTTTCATACAAAAATATTGGTCACAGAGATCTGATGAGTTAGAACCCAAATCCCAGTGCTAAGGAAATAAATTATAATCTCATGAGCCTTTAAAGTTGTTTCTTAATATATATATATATATATATATATATATATATATATATATATATATATATATATATATAAATGACAATAGGAAAACTGTAGTAGTTGCTGACGCGATTCGTCCAATGTGGACTTTCTCAAAGCAAAAAACGAAATGAATTTATTTTAAACAAACTAATAATAACAAAAAAAATGTTCTTAGCAACTGGAAGAATTTAGAGAACGTTATTTTCATACTCGATACTCGTATTTGAAGAGTATCTTTTTAATTTTTCTATTGAAAAAGACATATCTGCTCAGTTTTATATTCTACCGTAAAAAAAGCAATTTGTAAAGAAAGCGGGTGGATTTTTTATTTATTAATCCAACAGATTTTTTATTAATTAAATGTTATTTTTAGTGGCTACTCATATTTGAATAGACGCTTCGTTTATTCATTAAACAGTGTATTTATTCATTTTCCGTCTACCGGCCTAAAATATTTGAGAAATCTGTCGGATTAATAAATAAAAAAGGTATTCCTTTCTTTATAAATTGCTTTGTTTACGTTAGGATACAAAACTGGTCAGATATGTTTATTTGTCATCCATTTCACCACGTCCCACCACAAGTCACCACACATACCGCCATCCATTCATACAAGCTGGTCTAGTAGGTTGCCGATTATCTCCCCTTTCCGTTTTGCCTTCGACATGTCCTGTGAGTGTCAAATTCTCCAAGCCCTGCTTACCCTTTATGTACCCAAGTATTTCTTGTTTCTTGCTGATTCTATTGTCCTTTTCGCTTCCAGGTTTCCTAAAATCTTCCTCAACGTTCACATGTTTTATCCATGGTATTCTCAACATCCTTCTGTAGAACCTCTTCCCTTCATCTGTGGATAGATTTTACAGCATTGACTGCCATATAAGAGGATTGATATTACATGGCAGTTTAAATTTCTCTTCTTTGTGATTATTTGTTATTTATTGCTTTCTTTAGGAGGAGGGATGTAAATTTGCTTTTGTTATTCCAATACCTGTTCGGATTTCGCTGTCACATTTTACATTCTATGTTAAAACACTTCCTGGAAAATGTGAACTATATACATATATATATATATATATATATATATATATATATATATATATATATATATAATCGACTCTCCCGTCGCGTTCGACGTACGAGGGTCAGGCCGATAAGTCCCCAGGAAACCGACATCCCGACACCGGCACATGAGATTTGTTTATAGTGGTGAAGGCCTTGTGCAGGACCAGCCACACTTTTTGGAGGGACGAATACAGAAACCTGGTGCACCGAATGCATGCCACAAGGTTCCCAAACGACTCTCCGCAGGTTTTGAATTCAGAGTTGTCCTTCTCCTAGACCAATTGCCATCCAAGGCTATAGAACCCAGTCTGTCCTGCTATTTTACCCATATCTGGAGGGATGAAGAGGATACATACCTTTCCCAAGGGTATTAGCACGTATATATATATATATATATACATACATACACACACACACACACACACATATATAGAGAGAAAGAGAGAGGGAGGGAGAGAAACAGAAAGAAAGACAGACAGACAGACAGAGATGGAAACAGAGAGAGCGAGAAAGAGAATTAATACCAATATAAAATTTGTCACTTAGCTGATTGGTTTTAATTTCAGCACCCCGACTGTAGTGATTCGTAAACGGACTCTTCAGCAATCACCCTGTCTACTCCTCAAGGGATATCTGCTATTGACTGCTTATTTTCTCGTTTTTATTTTCTATATGCACTTTTCCTTGGTACATGTTGATATTTTTAATGGATATATATATATATATATATATATATATATATATATATATATATATATATATATATATATAGAGAGAGAGAGAGAGAGAGAGATAGATAGATAAACACAGAGAAGTAATGAATTTTTTACTTATTAATCCGACAGATGAAGTTATTTAAGTGGATACCCATATTTGAGTAGACACCCTGTTTATCTATTAAACGGTATATTGAATATTTTCGTCTGACGGCCTGAATATTTGAGAAAGCTTATTAAAGAAAAATATGCGCTCTACGCCAGGATTCGAATCTGCGTCTAGATGACGTCGAGTCTAACAACGACTTCTCCTCGAAAAGGAGACGCAGATTCGAATATTTGTCTTTAATGAAATTATCCACTCCTTTTATACACATATTTGTTTATATCTGTGTGTGTGTTCGTGTAAGGCAGAATGTATAAGGCAGAATGGGTAAGGTAGGATGTATAAGGCAGAATGTGTAAAGCTGAA